GGTAGTAGCCCCGTGTGCCAACTAACCGATCGTATCCGCCACCCACTCCCTATAGATATTCACTCTTGCCCCCGGTATAGAGGGACCGTTGTGTGCAAGGGTTTTTGTGTGCAATTTATATTTCAAACAATTGCAGAAATAATCATACAGCAGTTATTTAAAGCCATACAATAAAAAACATACAGAAGGGTAAAGGCGTAATTTCAAATCTTTACGTAGTTTGAATTTATCTGTCACTAAATGGGATCAACTCTCTAGCTTCCCCAGCGGAGTCGCCATCTGTCGCCGCCGTCCCTTTCTGATGTCCTGGGGACGTCTCGAAACGTTTATGCGAGCGGTCGCGAAAAGATGGTTTAGACTCGCGTTTTTTGTTTTAAAATATGTTCATTGCTTCCGAGGTGTCCGACGATTGAATTATCCTCTAATAAAAGCAAGGTTTTCAAAAAGGGGTTCTTATGGAGTCGCCACCAATATTTTGACCAGAAACATTGGAAAAGGAAGAAAGAAAGAAAGGCGTTGATTTTATAAAATAAACAACTTGGCCGTTATAACCAGAGTTGGGTAAGGGAGTTAGTTACGTGTGGGGAAGGTGTTAGCACCCCACAACGCCCCTTTCGGGTTCCCTATGACAGATCAATTCATTTAAAGAGAAGATTTCGAGAAATTACGCGATTACCCTATTTTATTGCATAATATTGAAATGACTATCTACATAATTTTATATAAATAAAGCTAAATAAAGCGATAAAAGAGATATTAAAATAACTATCTACATGATTCTATTCTACATGACATAATAAAGCTAAATAAAACAATAAAACAATAAATAAAACAATAAAAGAGAAAGGAATTGAAAAGAACCTCCGTAGCAAGCTTTATATTGAGAATCTCGAACCGTGAGGATGCGTTTTGGCAACCCCTCTCTCTACACGCCTCTCCTCACCAATACAAGATCGACTCCACTAAAAATTTAAAGAAGAATCGAATGCCTGAATATAATTCCTTAACCGATTGTTACCTATTTAAGGCAATCGGAAAGATCATTCGAGAAAGGGAGAGAAGTAGACAAGTGCTCTAAAGTGTTTCGCAGCTCCCCGGAGTGTCCGTGCTCCGAAAAAGTGGCAAATGAGCCTCCTATTTATAGTTTTTCGCAGTGGCGCACTTTGGGACGGCCGTCCGGGTTGGGACGGTCGTCCGGATCGGGATGGCCGTCCCAAATGGCAAATTTACACGGAGCGGGACCCCCGGGGAGCCGGGACGGCCGTCCCACTTAAAATGGGTTTGGGACGGCCGTCCCACATGTGGGACGCGCGTCCCAACTGCTAAATTTCAGTTGGGACGGCCGTCCCAACCCTGGGACGGTGGTCTCGGCCTGTTTTGTCCAGTCTTCGCGTTCTGGGACCCCGGGAAGCTTTCCTTGCCGTTTTCGGACTTGGATTGATGTCGATATATGTCCGTTGAAGCTTTATCTTCATATAGGAAGTCTTCTTGGCCTTCATTAAGATGCCGAGCGAGCTTTGTCTTTGTGTAGGAAGTCTCTTTTGGCTTTTATTGTGTGAATGAGTGAACTCCGTCTTTTGTTGTGGGAGGTCCTTCTCGTTTTGGGAAGCCTGATGAACTCCATCTTCGGGTGAAGTTCCTCTAGCTTTTATTTTGAGAGGCCGGGCAAAATTAGGGGTCTACAACAGGGACTGCCAAAAAGCATCCTCAAGTGCAAAATTTATAAAAGCTCACTTCGAAGGTTCTTCTTCATATCCCTTCTCTTTTACTGCTTTCTTTTACTGTTTTCCTTGTATGCATTGGATACTAGGACCATGTAGACAGTCATTTAAATACTGCGTTAAATAAATACGGTAGAAGCATAATTTTTTAAAGTGTTTATTTTAAGATTATTCCATCATAGGGAACTCGAAAGGGGCATTGTGGGGTGCTAATATCTTCTCCATACGTAACTAACTCCCTTACCCAACTCTGGTTATAATGGCCAAAGTTGTTTTTTTTTTTAAAACCAACACCTTCTTTTTTCCTTTTTCAATGTTTATGGTAAAAATATTGGTAGCGACTCCTGGACCCATTTATGAAAATCTCATTTTTAAGGGTAGCTCGGTTATCAAACACCCTAAGACTGATTACCATCTTTTTTTAAACACAAACGCAAGTCATCAAAATCATCGCATCGCTCCGACCGCTTTTTTGTGGCAGCAATATAAATTGACACATAACCTATTAAGATTATCAATTGACACATCACGGGAACCTATTTAAGTTATCCAGCATAACAAGGTCATTCGATATAATAATAATGATCGATGATTTATATTATTATCATTTATTTGTATATATTGTTTATTATCCTTATATGATTTACACAATCCACTAATATTAAAATTTTTATCCAAACTTGAATGTCGACCAAAGAAGCAAAGAAATGAGTGGATAGACAATAAACATGAGGACAAAACCGTAATAAGTTCATCCAAATTTGAGAATGTTAAAATAAAGCTATAAAAGCCATTTGAGCTACTTGCTAATGTCAAATTATTTTGATTATGACAAATATCAAGTTGTTTTGATTATGAACACGAATATTCCTAATTATTATTGTCTTATTGATACTCTATTTTGCATTGCAACAAACATATCTTATTTTGCATCATACTTATCAAACTAGTCAAACATCGAGCATAAATGCCTATCAAATATAAAACGCATAGGCTAGATAATCATGTGCACAAAGTGCGTCATTATAAAAAATAACCATCATACACCCAAAATGTCATAAGAGTAGCTATCTCATATGTAGTTATCCGAATAATAATAAAAACAAAATCCGAATAAGAACACGTTAAGGCGCATCGATAAGTTTTCCATCCTTAACCTCCTTCTCAATATTGAACCGGACAACATTCACAATTGGCACAATACGACAACTTGAGATACAACTTTTTGAAAGACCTCCTCATAAACACTCACCAACTCTATGTCGACAAAGTAGACAACGAGAATATAAACTCGTTCGTCTCTAATAACAATACACCTACTTATATAAGAAGACTTTGCGCTTAAGAGGCATTTGTACCTAATCGATTTCAAAACAACTAAATATCATAACTACTGAGAACTATCAAGATTTTCGAATCAAATATCTCGACAAATATGAATATCTTGACTACCCAAGATATTCAGATATCAATCCATCCCAAGATCGTCGAAAACCACCCAAAATACTAATAAATAAGGATAAAATATCACATATTTTTTAGGTAGTTATAATATCTCACTCCTATATAAATAAGTTTAGTAACTCGTTCATTTCACTTCTTCATTCTCGTTCACATACTTGGTTAAATATAAAATAGTCTTTTATTGATATCTTCCTAATTTGTATATACCTTCTCGGCTCACCCTAAAAAACTCATACGCACTCTTTGGTATATAGGCATGATAACGGGGTGGGGTGGTGCCAGGGTTTGCCTTCCCGATTCCCGCCCTCGATTTTTTTAACGGTCCCCTACCTCGATCCCCGACGGAGTTAGAAATTAAGTCCTCATCTCCGTCCATTGGGTTTCGGGTTTTCCCATCCTCATATCCGATCTACATTATTTTAAAAAAAATAATTATATTTATAATAAATTAATTTTACTATTTTTATTTATTTTTTATATATAAATAAATATTTATAATTTGTAATTATTAGTAATTAAATATATATTTTAATTTATTATATTTATATAATATATATATATATATATAAGAAATATTTAATCATTTTTCTTTATACAGTATGTAGAATACTTATAACATTATTATTATTATTATTATTATTATTATACTCGTATTCAAATATTTGATTATATATATATAAGTTAATTCTTTTTTAAGTTGTCATTTAAAAATATTAAATATATAGTTTATAAAAAAATATTTTATAAATTAATTAGTTCAAATTAATAAAAGTTTAAATTATCAATTCCTTTTAATCCTTTAAAATACAATTATTTTATTAAGATAAAATTTGATATATGAAAAATAAGAATAATAAGATAAAAAAATATGACATAATAAAATCTAATAAAGATAAATTATAAATAAAATAATATTAATTATTACTAATATTTATGTAAAATATTTAGAAAAAGATAAAGAATAAGAAAAAATAAATTTTGTATTCATCAAATTAATTGAAAATATTAAAAAAAATTGATGGAAGAGACTAGGAAAAGGTGAAAAAGTGAAATGTGAGAGAAAGAGAATAATATAATGAATTAATTTATATAAAATATTAAAAAAAGCAAAAAAATTAAAAAGTAGATAGAAAAAAAAAGTAAAAATGGTATATATAAAAAAATAATCTTATATATAATGAAAAAAGAAAAGAAAATACTTTAAAAATATTAATATTTTAAAATTTAAATTTAAATATAAAGTTGAGGCAAAGACGATAACAAGATTGGGGTAGGGATTACATTACTCATCTCAACCCCTGACTTTTTAAAGTGAAGAAAACTCAAACTCACCCCATCTATGATCAACTCGTTTTTCTTTTCGTCAAGTTCGGAGTGAAGACGGATAGATCCCTATAATTACGAGTTTAATTTTCATCCCTATCTATATATTATAATATGTTGATAAAAGAACGAAAGCCTAGACAGTATCAAACTCGTAAATTGATAAATTGATTGTTGCATGTGTGCTATGATTCTAAAGATATTTCTTTCATTTTTCTATCTCTACTACAAGTGGCATATCTTCCCTATAATTAGGGATCAATAAACTTCTAAAGTTTTATAATTATATTTTATCTTTTTAAATTTAATAATAATTTAATATATTTTGTTGTATATTTATAATTTTATAAATTTTATATAATTTATGATATTGATTTTTTAAAATTTAATAATTATTTAATATATTTATTTATAATTTTATTTTTAAATTTTTTTATTATTTTATATTTATTTATTATTTATTAATAATATATTATTTAAAAGCTGACCCACCTTCAAAGTCACATCTAAAGATTGCGATCCGGCATCTGCTCTAATAGATTCGTCGAAATTTCCGCTATTGCTTCTCAACTAAGAATACTAAGGATCAGCAGCCACTATAGACGATAAGAAATATAAGGAAAATGAAACAACCGAAAATCATCGGAGAGATACTATTCAATCTACCAGCTGAACTATGATGGCTACAAATCTAAGTAGATAAAAATAGGTAAAATAAATAATATACAAAAAAAATTATAAATACATTGGGTTAAGGTAATAGATTGGAGGTGTAAGTTCTTTGACAGCTTAAGCTCATGACTCGTACAATAATTAACCTGCAAACAAAATAAATATGAACATAAATGGGTTGAGTCAACTTTTAGGTGTTCATTGATATGGCTGTATACAGACTGTGCTGCTTGATGATAAAGTAGATGGATGATGACTCATCAACTTTTTACCTTTCACTTTTTATAATCCACCGTCTTCATTCTTAAGACCTTTTTGTAATTTTCTGCAACTTGTGTGTCAGATGTCGGTTTGTCTGCTACTTTTCTTTCTCTATCTTACCATGCAAGCTCAGTCCGTACACCTAATACACATTATTGAGATCGTATTCAATGTTCAAGCACTAAATATATTAGAATGTTTTGAAGAAATTTGTTTAAAATAATTATTTATAAATAAAATTCATATTTTATATATATATATATAACGAAATAATTGAAATTATAAAATTATTTATATCAATAATTTTCTTTAATTTTAAATAATTCATTTATATATATATAATTATATTATAATATTTTTATTTTTAAATAATTCTATTTGTAGTTATTTTTGTATTTTTGTTATCTAAGTAATTGTAGTTTTTAATATATAACTAAACTATTGTTTTAGTTTATGTATTGCACTATTAAAATTTACAGTAAATAACTATTTTTAAATATATAAATTATATTTTAATTTACATTTAATAATTTTAGTTGCAATAGAAGATTGATTTTAACTATTGACAATTTTTTTTATAAAGAAGTCTTTAATATATAATGTGTGTTCTTAAGAAAATGTTAAAAGTATTAATTATTCATTTTTATTTATAAATAAAAAAGTTAAAATAATAAATAAAATTAAAAGAGAGAAATTAAACGAATAGACTAATAAAATAAAGAGTATTAATTATTACTATTATTTTATTTATACATAAAAATATAAAATTAAAAATAATATTTTTTTATTCTATTTCTAACTTATTTTTTTATTATTAGTTCTTTCTACATTTTCCTCTGTATGCTATACAGGTTTGCAAGGAAAAAATAACAAATTTTTTTATGTTTATTTATTTCTTTAAAATAAACTGATCTTTGCATATTTTAGTGAAACAAACTTATCTTATATTTTTTTTATTTTCTTGAATTTTTATCTAGCAGAGTGTCATTAGTTTATTTGTTCTTACAATGATGCATATGAGTGAATAAAATTTTATACTTATTCTTTTGTTTTGTATTATTATATTATATTTTACTCAATAATTTTGTTGACTTAAATAAATCCTTGATTTATGAAATTATAGATAATTTTCGAGAGGTGTTGATTAGTTTGAATAAAGAAAATGATAAATATTTTGGAGAAACATCAAAGAATTAACCAGGTAAATTAAAATATATAGTTTTTATTGAAAGAGAAACTTACATTCTTATAACCTATCCAAATAAAAAATACTAAAACTAATGAAAATTGAAAACTTTTAAAATTAACAAGATCAAAATCATAAATATTTAAACTTTTAAACATGACGTCTTCTCCCAACCCCATGAATCATAAATTATGTAACTCTCTCAATCTCTAATATTATATTTTAAAAAACGTCTTTTAGACTCATTTACTTCGTAGTTAGGGTGTGACTTTGTATTAAAAGACCTCGGTAAAATAAGGGATGACACTGATCAAGTCTGGCGCATATGTCTCCCCAAAATCATAAGATGATGTAAACTCACGCCTATCCGTTGTCGGAAGGTCAAGAAGTTGATTTAGTCTCCCAAAGGCGGTTATGTTTTCAAAGATTCCTTGTATACTCATTTATACTACATTAAATGTTTTAGTTTCCCAATGCGATCTTAGCAGACATAAAAAAATGTTTAGCTCTCTCAATCTCTCGGTTGTTATGTTTTAAAAAATGTCTCTGATACTCATTTACTTTGTATTAAATGTTTTAGTCTCGCATGACCCATGAACTCTGGAAATTTTTTCTCAACCAATTTGATTGTCCGGTAACAGAATTTTGAATACATTTTTTTTATTTTGTTAAGAAAAAAACTAACTATAATATATATATATATATATATAATATAATATTATAATATTTATTTAAATTTTTAAATTTTTATTTATATATATATATATATATATTTAAATATATATATATATATATATTTATTTTTCTGAAAATAAAAGGAGTTTTTCAATTTTTATTCCATTTTTTTTAGTAAAAAAAGATTATACGAATCACATGTTATACTTTTCGGTCTTAAGAATGCACCTACCATTTTTCAACAAAAAATGGATAATATTTTTAAGGATTTTAAATCCTTTACTTACCTCTCTATATATACGATATACTTTTTTTTTTTTAACTACCCATGAACTCTAAAACTACCCATGAACTCTGGAAATTTTTTCTCATCCAATTTGATTTTCGGGTAACAGAATTTTGAATACATTTTTTTTATTTTGTTAAGAAAAAAACTAACTATAATTTATATATATATATATATATATAATATTATAATATTTATTTAAAATTTATAATTTTAAAGTATAATTTAAAAAAATTTATATATCTTTTAAATTAATAATATATTTAGATTTATTATTAAAAATAGTAAAATAATATTTAAAAATATATTATTAAATACTATATTTATATTTTATTTGTATAGTTAATTTTTTTTAATTCTTTGATTTATTTGATATTATAATATATTTTTTAAAATTAATAATAAATTAAGAAAATAATAAAAATATTAAAAATTATATATATATATATATATATATATAAAAGACGAAATAATATTTTGATGTATAATTATATTTTTAAAATGTATTTTTCTTTTTTATATTTTATAATATTTTTGAAGATATATATATATATATATATATATATATATATTATAGAAATAAAAATAAGTTATAATTTAGAATATATATATATATATATATATATATATATATATTTAAAATATAATTTCTTTTTAAGTTGATAATTATTATTTTAATTTATACTATATATAATAATTAATTTCAAATTCATATATGTATTTTAATTTATGTAATATATATATATATATATATATATATATAATTATAATTTATATAATATATATAATTTATTTAACATTGAAAATAGTTATATTTTTATTAATTTTATAATTATAAATTTTTTAATTTATAATTTTAAATATAATTTTTTTAACTTTATAATTATAATTTATATAATATATATAATTTATAAATAATTTTTTTAATTTTAATTTGATATATATTCTTATTCGTAATTATTTAATTATTTAATGTATATTTGAAAAAATAATCGATTATAATCAATTATTTGAAAAAATAGTTGATTATTTAAAAATTAATAGATTATAATTAATTATTTGATTAAATAATTAATTATTTAAAAAATTAATCAATCATAATTATATAATTAAGTAATTAGAACTAATCCATCAGCTTTTCAAATATATATTAAGTAATATATATATATATATATATATATATATATATATATCTCGATATATATATATATATATATATAATATTCTAATAATTTATTTAAAATTTATAGATTTAAATATAGTTTTAAAAAGATTTATGTATTTATTAAATTAATAATATATTTAGATTTATTGTTAAAAATAATAAAATAATATTTTAAAAATATACTATTAAATATTATATTTAAAATTTATTTTTATGATTAGATTTTTTAATTTTTTAATTTATTTGATATTGTAATAATTTTTTAGAAATTAATAATAAATTAGAAGCATAATAAAAATCTTAAAAATTATATATATATATATATATATATATATATTAAATATAGTTTATTTTTAAGCTAATAATTATTATTTTAATTTATGCAAAATATATATATATATATATATATATATATATATATATATAATGAATTTAAAGTTTTGAATTTATGTAATTTAAGGTGAGAATAATTACAGATAATTGATTCTTAGTGTCCATATAATCAATTATATGCTAGGTTGATTCAAAGAGAATCAATTCTTAGAATTGATTCAAAGAGAATCAATTCTTAGAATTGATTCTTCATTTTTGACAATTAATTATTAATTAAGGATAATCGATTCTTGATAATGTGAAATAATTTCTTGATCATGTTTTATTTCAACGAAAATCGAGTCTCGCTATGATTTGTGATGTATATTTGATGTGTTTTATGTTGTGTTATATTATGGGTCATGTATTCGTACGATAATTGGGTCGTGATGGTGGTCGTGCTTTGGTTTATTGTGTCGATTGCTGCTTCTGCTGGTGGGTTGATGACGTGTGTGGTTTTGGTTGAGTGGTGTGGTGATTGATTGTGGTAGATTAATGTTGTACGTGATCTTCGTCGTACGGTGATGATGTTGTTGGTGTTGTTGCTGTGCTTAGTAGTGGTGTTCATCCGTGACGATGGTGCATGGTGCTTCTATGATGGTGGTCCCGTCGTGCTGTTATTAGTGCTTGTGGGGTGGTGGTATGCGGTGCTTCTTTGCATATTCGTGGTACTTTATTTGGTGTTTCAAAAGGCAAGTATATTGTTTTCATTAGAATGAATTAATTTAAATTTGTATGATGTATGATTTAAATTATGTTAAGAATATTTGAAGTGAGATTAAAGTATATATATATATATATATATATAATTTATTTTGAAAAACTTATATTAATATTTTTATAATATAAAGTTATATTAAACTTGTATTTAGGTAAATATTAAATATAAAGTTAGATTAAGTGTAATTATAATATTAAATATTTTATGAATTTGTAATTTGTGGTAAATATATATTAAAACAATATCAAAACATATAATCTATATTTTATAAAAAATTTGTTTTCGATTAATTAAATATTTAAATAGTATAATAAAATAAAATTTAAGTTCGTTAATAACATATTAAATTGTATAATGAAATTAAATTTAAGTTTATTAATAACATATAATAAATTTGGCATGAAAATATCATTTATAAAATGTTAAAATTTGGCATTATAAAAGATATGATAATATTAATTTATAAAGTTAGCATTAATTTAATATTAAATTATTTTATTTAAATTAAATTTAAGTGTGTTTATAAAATATTAAATTTTTAATGAAATTATTATTTATGATAAACATATATTGAAAAAACTGAGTATAAATTATGGTATAATACTATTATATGATATTTGTATTACTTTAATATAAATTTTTAGACATGAAAATAAATTATATTATGTATTAATATTTTTTTCATGTATCATTCTTCTTAAAAAAAATATAATGTAGAATAGTATTTTATGAAATTAGATCATAATGTGGAGCATAAAATATTACAGTGAATTCTAAAATTATAATTTCTAATTTATTTTTATATGATTTTTGTTGTAGTAAATATAATTAATAAAAAACTTTCAAATTATAGGAAATAAATTTTAAAAGACTTGCAAAATGGTACAGGAACTATTTGTCAAAGTATTTTGCTAATGAATAAATATATTGATAACTGTTATATTTAATATATTTTGTTATTGTATTTTAAGTAAGTATATATTTAGTTTATAATTATTTTGTTATTATGATTATAAGCTAAATATATGTTTACCTAAAATACAATAATAAAATATATTTACATATACTGACGATTTTAATTTGATTTAATACTTACAATAACAAATTAAACTTACACTAGTGGAAAAATAGCATTCTATGACGAGTTTTTATCACTGGTCGTAATCTACCCGTCATAGTATGTAGCGCGGTGGCAATTTTGTAATAAAATCATAAACTTTCTATGTCGGGTAAATTTTAACCGACATAGTAAGTGGAAAGTTCACTTTCTATGTCGGTTAAATGTTACCCGACATAGAAAGTTCACTTTCTATGTCGGATAAGATTTACCCGACATAGAAAGTTAACTTTCTATGTCGGGTAACATTTAACCGACATAGAAAGTGAACTTTCTATGTCGGTTAAAATTTACCCGATATAGAAAGTGTCTTTGATGATGGGTGTTAGGGCAACTGACATAGTATCTTCTGTTTTACCACTTCACCCATAGTAGAGCTCCCCGTTCGCCTGTGTACGTTTCTCCCTACGCTCCATTTCATTTCATCAGTTCACCCATAGCGAGCTCCCCGTTCGCTCGTGTACGTTTCTCCGCACCCACATTTGCTCGTCACGCCACCTCGCCAACGCCGTACGTCGTGCCGCCTGCTGCTACTCGTCGTTGGTGCCCGTCGCCTGTGATACGTTTCTCCCCACCGGCTCGCACGTCACGCCACCTGCCACCTCTGTAGGTCTTCAAGAGGTAAGTTTTCGTGCTTGCTTTAGCCATTGTAGGTTTACAGTATTGAATCCGGTAAGTAATAATGTCTGTCAAGAGAGGGAAACATCACGGGTGCCTTTAGCTAATTTAGAGATGTATTGTAAGTAGTTTAGTCATTTGAATGTGTTTCGTAGACATTCTTTCGTGATTTTGATTTAGAAAATTAGATTTGTATTATAATGTAGTTATTTTGAGAGTGGAGTTGGATTTCGTGTAGGCATTATAATGTAGTTATTTCGTGTTTACGTAGCTAATTTGATTTTGAAAATTAGATTTGTAACAATGGATCGGAGTTGGATCAATTATAGACGAACAACAAATGAATATGAGAGTGGAGTAGAACAATTCCTTGAATTTGCTAAGATGAATGTTCCGGATAATGATGGAAGATTCTATTGCCCTTGTGTTAACTGCTTGAATGAGCGAAGATTACCGATCGAAGTTATTCGGGAACATGTTCTTTGTGAT